CTACCAACCTTATCATCATAATCTGTACCACCTCCTCTTCCTCCCATGAACTCTTCAAACTCCCCATCTTCAACATCCTCATCGATCAATTCAGGAACATCGATAGTTTCCTTCTCACTAGAAGCTTTCTTCACCAACCTTTTCCTTGGTTTGGCTTTATCGTTATCGTAAACAGGAGTTCGTGACCCTTCACCTCCTTCCCAATCTTCAATATCATCAGCCAAATTCTCATCAAAATCCTGAATTGGTTCTGTAGATGGCTCACGATCATTTCCAAAATCTTCATCAAAATCCATCAATGGCTCACCATCTACATCACGGTACCTGGAGAAACAAACCCATGAAACAAAATACTCTTTTTTTGAGAGACGAAATTTGACAAATCGAAAAAGCTCGATCTCTGAAAACCCTAGATTTGATCGAAAAAGGGGGAACAAAAAGCTGCGATTTTTCATAAGCTAAAAATACAAAATTGAAGACGAAGAAGAAGAACTTACGGATCATCTTCGAAACCCATTACTGATTCGTTTCCAGAAACTGATTCAACAAAGAGAGAAAGCTCGAATACTGATCTTGTTTCGAGTTGTGTCGGGAAGAGGCGAGAGGGAGGAGAAGAAAGAAAAAAATGGGATCGTTTCCTCCTTCTGGGAAAATTCAACGGTTTCGATTGAAAGAATGACTAGCGGCTCAGATCTTGCCACGTCATCGAAACTCCAAGCAAAGCATAATTAAGGAAGTCAACTCTCTGTCTAGTCAATGTATTAAAACAGTAGATACCCTTATTTATTACTTTTTGGTAGTATGTCAAAATGCATTCAATCATAAAAACTAGTACTCCTACTTTTACACTAAGAAAGTAAACTTGTATAACTAAATTGGGAATGTCTTCAACGCTACTGAGAAGCGGTTGTATTTTATGCGATTGACTGATTGAGTTCGATGTATATTGCGCCATTCAAAATATGTATAAATTTTGATTCGGTGTTAATGTTTATCTTTGAGATTAGTCGGCGCTGTGTATTTTTATTTGGTTGGCGATCAGAAAGATTTGCCCATTTTGGAACAGTTTTTTCGTTCTGATTTGTATTCGTCATGAATTTTCCTTCGCATTCTATGGGAAGAGTATGAATATGAGATAGTGTATCTGAATTATCTACTTACAGATTTAAATTATCCATAATTTTTTTCTAAATTTACAAAACGATGTTCTTAAATTGATGTTTATCAAAATTAAATAGATGTACAACTTTTGCTGTCTAATTTTATAATAACCTGAGATTTTCCCCATCCCGTTTTACACCACTCGTAGAAAGTTTAGGGTTAAGAAATGATACATATAAATTTTACAGGCCTAAATTTATAAATAAGATAAAGATTTGGGTCTACAAAAGAAAAACCAATTTTACAACAATTATATTCCCTGTCAAGCCCACGCATCTTCCTCCTCTTCCCCATCACAAACACGACCAATCACCAAAAACTCTATACCTCTAAATTTCTCCAATTTCTGCAAAATCTAAGCTTATTGATTCACATCGCATCTCTAGCTTTGCTCAGATTGCTTGAAAATTACCGATCTTAAGGTATTCTCCCCCCTTCCTGCAGATCCCTACGTTTGAACAAGAACATGATAAATGTTTGGTCCTAGTTTTTTTAGGGTTAGATTCTGATCCCAACGCTTGATTCGTGTATTGGGTTTCTTCAAATTGTTTCTGTGTTGTCGTCTCTGATTGGCTACAGCATTGTGAACTAAAAAAGTTAGGTTTTTTTCTTGGATCCTGAGAAAAAAATGTGACCTTTTTATCGTCTGATTGTTGGATTTGGTAGGTTTTAGTTATAAGCAAGACTTGTTCTGGTCTTGGGTTAAGCTCGTCTTGTGTGAAGCTTTGAACTTGTTGGTGAATGTGATTATGGGAAGTAGTGAGATGGAGAAATCGGATAAAGAGAAAGAACCTAAGACTCCTCCTCCACCTTCTTCTTCTACTCTTGCTACTTCACAGGTTTGCATTTGATATAAATTTTGATCTAGATTTGTTAGTGTCATGCTTTGGTGTTTAATGTTTTTTTGTGTGTTTTGTAGGAACCTTCTTCTGCTGTTAATGCTGGAATGGCTACTCCAGATTGGTCTGGTTTCCAGGTCTAAAAAGAGATTCCTTTGTCCTTGTTTCTTTGTTCTATATAGGTATAATGTGGCTCATCTTCTTTATTGTTTAACAGGCTTATTCTCCTATGCCGCCTCATGGTTACGTGGCTTCGAGTCCTCAACCTCACCCTTATATGTGGGGCGTTCAGGTAAGTCGAATTGTTTCCACATAAATAGGGTGATTTTAGATGCTTTTAAGCACTCTTTCGATATTTGAATACTTGAGAAACTGTCAAACAAGACTAGCTTTCTCTGAAAATAAATAATTTGTTTAAAAGCTGCTTAACATTGTGGTAATTAATGGCTGTAACATCGACTTAAGAAAAATTGGTTTTTCTTTTGGTAGCATATGATGCCTCCTTATGGAACACCGCCTCCTCATCCTTATGTTGCAATGTATCCTCCAGGTGGCATGTACCCTCATCCTTCATTACCTCCGGTACTGCTAGATTTTGGATCTTCGGTTATGTATCGAAAATAGTGTGAATGTTTTAAGTAATTTCTGTTAACATGTTCCGTGTTGCAACAGGGATCTTATCCATATAGTCCCTATGCTATGCCTTCTCCTAATGGAATGGCTGAAGCTTCTGTGAGTTTTTTGTTTTATCACTTTTTTTTTGTTTCATTAGGTTCTGGCTCAAACGAAATTTTGACTAAGGAATGATTTGCATTCAGGTAAATACTGGAAGTGGTACCGAGGGTGATGCTACTAAACAATCTGATGGGAAGGAAAAGTTGCCAATCAAAAGATCAAAAGGAAGCTTGGGAAGTCTGAATATGATTATTGGAAAGAACAATGAGACTGGGAAAAACTCCGGAGCATCAGCTAATGGAGCTTGTTCTAAAAGGCATGTGACTTCATGATTTTATGAAATCGAGATCTTGTTTACGTACTGAAATCTTCTTCTGGACGTGTGATTGCTAGCTATGATAATGCCATTGTTTTATAGATTTGCTGAAATTGGCAGATTTGTTTTTCCGGTTTTACAGTGCTGAGAGTGCTTCTGATGGTTCAAGTGAAGGAAGTGATGCAAATTCACAAAACGTAAGTTTCTAGCAACTCACTAAATCATTTCCGTTGTTCTATATTGGGCTGAAAAGTCTTAAAAGTTTGTACGAATATGAGCATGGTGCTGATTTGCTATGCAATTTCTGTAGGACTCTGGATCTAGACACAACGAGAAGGATGGTTGGTTAATGATGCTTTTTATATCTTATCTCGTACCATGTTATAGACCTAAATGTTGAAATCTGTTTATTAAGAGACTGCTCTTTCTTTCAGGTGAAATAGCTTCAGAGGGTGGTGGTTCTGCTCATGGACCACCCCGTAATGGAAGTAATCTACCGGCGAATCAAGCCATTACGGTTATGCCAGTGTCGGCTACAGGTGTTCCGGGCCCACCAACAAATTTAAACATCGGAATGGATTATTGGAGCGGTCATGGGAATGTTTCTACAGCAGTTCCTGGAGTTATAGTAGATGGTTCTCAATCACAACCATGGTTACAGGTTTGTTATAATTTTGACCTCTTCTTACTTCTCCTTTAAGGATATTCAAGCAGCGTATTTGATTGTTTTTGAAATTAAGGATGAAAGAGAGCTTAAGCGACAGAGACGGAAGCAATCCAATAGGGAGTCTGCTCGTAGATCCAGGTTGCGTAAACAGGTATAACATAAACGAATTTAAAACCGCTCTCCATCATTTGCCGATTAGATTATAAATGATCAAAAGTTGTTTTTGTGTGTGTCCAGGCGGAATGTGATGAGCTAGCACAACGAGCAGAGGTGTTGAATGGAGAAAACTTGAGTCTTAGAGCAGAAATTAACAAACTTAAAAGCCAATATGAAGAGCTTCTTACTGAAAATGGCTCTCTCAAGGTAAATTACAATAAAGACGGTTTTTCGCCAGATTGATTAACTTGATTGAAAATAGAATGAAAGTTTCCGTTTTCATCTCTTATACGTTCTTGCAGAACCGATTTTCGTCAGTCCCGTCACTTGAATTGGCCAAGAACGGCCAAGAACCAGTGACAAGCACACATCAGGATGTTTAAACAGATGGTGCAGAGACCAACTCAGCCTGGACTAACAGTTTAATGTAATTTTAGGAACCAGAGTTTGTTTGGTTTGGATTAGTGTCTAAGCTTTGATGGTGCGTGGATGGACCAAGTTAGGAGGAAATAGAAGTTAATGCTTTAACAAATTGTGTATATTTTTCTTTTTATTGTGTTCAGAATCTGGACTTCTTCTGTCTTGATAGAAATAGACTTTTAAATGAATTTTGAGTTTAGCGATTGCGTTTGGGTCGATTAGAGAAACGCAAACGCCAATGTTCATCATTTTCTAGTCCTTTGTAGAAATGTTAATGTGGAATGCGTTTGTGATGCTACTGTCTTGTTTACTCGTTCTCATTTGAATATTCCTTTTTTTCTTTTCAACATAATATTCCAATTTTTTGTTTTCACATAACTAAAATTTGAGAT